GGAGGGGGAATAGTAGAGGATAGGAAAGGTAGCAGAATACAACAGTTACTAATAGGGCATTATGTAAAATTGTGGATGTATAACCGACGTGATTCTGCAATCTGCATTTGGGGTAAAAATTGGGAGTTCATAACCCACTTGAATCTAATGTATGAAATATGATATGTCAAGAGTTTTGTAATGTTATGAACAACCAATAAAAAAAAAAAAAAATCCAGACTTCCTTCTTCTGCTCTACTTCACTAACAGAAAATCACACAGGAGGGTTAAAACTGAGTTTCACTGACCTGAAATGTTCTTCCTTGGGTCAGAAAAACTCTGCCTGCTGTTACTGATGCTATCTTTCATGGGAAAAGGATTCTAAAATAGGAAGCTACTGTAATTCACAATCGTGAGCAGGTCTCACTAAAACAAGAGCTGTTTACTCTTAATACCTAGAGACCCTATTCTTCCCTTCTCTGATACTTCTTCTGTCAAGCAAATTCCACTCAACTCTAATGTGCAACTATATTCTGAGTCTTTACAGTATATTACTATAAATATTATGATGAAATTTCAAAATATAAAGCTTTTCCTTTTAAATTAGCATTTTTAAGTTCTTCTCTTCAAGAGTAGATAGAAGTAATGTATCTTTGCAAATAGATATTCTCCTTAAAAAAGGAATCTCCAAATGGTTGATTGCAGACCTGATCTTTCTGATAAAGAAAATTAACCTGAAGTTTGTAGTCTTTAAAATGCTGGCCTTAGCTATTCAGGAGTCTCAGGGAGATGGATCTGCTTCCAGTTTTTCCGGATTTCAGAAATTAAGAAAATGAAGGGAGACTAAGGGTACTAAGCAGCCATGGCACTTGGACAACCCTGAGATTGCAATTGTGTCCCACAGAGAAACAAATAAAGATCAGATAAAGTTAGTAAATTTGCAAAACATCTCCAAGCTATTTTAGGAATAAAGCTGGGATTGAAACCTAGGTCTGTTCTAATTGAATCCAAAAGCCAAGCTCCTTTCACTCCAGTTTCTATATCCTTCACCAGCCTGAAAGACTATTAGCTTCTTAAATCCTGCTACTCCCATCACTTGTACATACAACCACCCAAGACAGAACAGAGAGAGGGCAAAGGCTTCAAAATCTGATATGTTGGCACTCGTTTGTTTATGCAGCTATAATGCACATCCCCAAACATCCTAAAGTGATACACAAACATCCTAAAGTGATCTGTCCCTCCTCCCATCCCTTTCTTGCTCCTTATACCTCTTGAGTGCCCACTGTTGACAGACAATGAACCTGCATCTTGCAACAAAGCAGGGTCCAGAATTCCAACAGCCGTGGAACCTAGAAAAGACATCAGCTCTGTTGTAGAAAGTCTGATTGCCAATTGGATTAATCTAACCATTCATAAGATATAATAACCGGATACTGTAGAGAAATATTCTTCTAAATATTATAAAAATTTGCCACATATAACCTGATTTATTTAAAACTAAATATTTTACTGGTTAAGTAATGTTGGCTACCATGCCCATGTATTACCTCTGTACTGCTGCAGAATTTCCCAACTTTTTAAACATAAGAATTCATTTTAAGCATCAAAGTACTCAAGAACTCCCACAGGATATTTATATTTTAGCCTCCTTAACTGAGAAGATATATGTACAAGTACATCTATAGTCTCCTTGTAAAATATGGTGCTAGCTTAATGGCTAAGCTCATTCATCTACCTGCCCTCTCCACTTAACAAAGGACAAATCTCTTTCATGTTTCTTTTGCAATTATCAAGTATTAGTGCTAGTTTCTATCATAACAGGAATTTGTGAGGGAGAGTCATGCTACACATCTTCTGTCATTCACCTTGGTCCTGCTGACTTTCTAATGGAGTCACTGAGGAGATCCGAGGTTCCTTCACTTCTGTAAAGTCTGCTCTCCAGGTTTTTTCATCTAGACAGGCTGGAGTCACTCTTGGAGGCTCAGAAAATATATTCACAGGAGAACTGGCAGCTTCTATCAAGAATATGAAGGAGGACGTACAAAGATTGATTCTGAACTTCTAAAGAAGGTGAATTAAAAGATTTAAGAGATAATTTCTGAATGTGAATATAAACATCTAACACTGCAGTGGGCTTTCAGAAAGGGAGCTATGAGATTTGAGTAGGAATAACAATGCTATGTTATGAAAATTTTCAAAATGTATTCAAAGTAGGAAAAAGTTATTACCTTGACTTTTACAATTGTGTGGGGGAAAAGCACTGGTAACTGAAGCTGCCAGATAATGTAACTCTGCCGATGATGGGACCTCCAGATGATCACTTTGCTGTTTGGTAACATTCTCATTTGAAGGCTCTGCTGTGACAGGTAATTCCTGTAGATCATCAGCTTCAATGTCAACCACATTTATAAAAGTGTGTCCAACCTGAGTTAAAGCACATAAAAATCATTCTTATTACCTTGGTTAGCCACTCTATCTCCCACCCCTAAAAAGCTAAATTCTTCATTATTATTACTAAAAAGTAAGAAGAGCTTTTATGTGCCTAATCTTAGGGAAGCTGCAGGAAATAAGTCTCATTGGTTTTAGCTTACAATATTCCAGGGCATAATACTTAAATTGATTTTTGATCTTTCCTACAAAGCTACACAGATGAGATTTTTAGCTTCATTTCACCCATTCAATTGTATAATAGCTAGAAAAAACATAATAAATTTCAGTACAATATTAAAACTTCTAAATATATAATTTATTACCATATCAGGTGCTGAAGGAGACAAAGATTTCTCTGATATTTTAGTAGGAAGTTCAACATTGAGATGTACATCTGGAACCAACAGCTGAGGAACAGTTACAGGTTCATATTCTGAAAATTAAGAAAAATTGGGAATGTAAAAATATCTTTAACTTGACTTAAATCATTAATTTTGTAAAAACTAGTAAACAACAAACAATATAAATGCATATGTCCTAAAAATCTAAGTAGAAGCTTCATGGGTATAAACAAATTAAATTCTATCATATTCTATGGTCAATTTACTCTAGAGTAATTCGTAATTTAATAAAGATAAGTATTGCCAGGCATGGTGGCACACGCATGTAGTCCCAGCCTCAGCAATGGCGAGGCACTAAACAACTCAGTGAGACCTGTCTCTAAATAAAATATAAAATAGGGCTGAGGATACGGCTCCAGTTGAGTTCCCCTGAGTTCAATCCCCAATACCAAAAAAAAAATTAAGTATTGATTTTCTCATAATGTGATAAGAACAACAAAGTATCTAAATTATGTCATGAAAATGCTATAATTTCCTATTTCCACTTCAGATATATTAACTCACATTCATCTACTTTATTTAAGAGAACTGCAATAAAGCCAAATTTTAAGAAATAAACCTATAACTAAATTTGTAAAAATTTTTGTTTCTTGATATTTAGGTCTTTATCTTATTACTAGTTTTATTTATGTGAGAAACAAAGTCTAGTGGTCCATTTTCAGAATATAGTACTTACCTTAAATGTAACATTAGGATGTAAGAAAGGCAGCAGGAGGGGAAATGGAGCTGAATGGAAACTTACAAGCAGTTAACTCACACAATAGCACCACAGCCTATGGATGTGGCAGATCCAAAGTCCATGCCCCTCAACAGCTCATTCTCCCTGGAGGGCAACAGCAGCAGGAGCTCAGGGAGTGTGAAAAATCCCCAGCTAAGTGGGTACTGAGTACACAGGAGCTTGGGACTTACAAGAAACCTTCAATAAGGTTGAGTACACAAAGGGAAACTCAGTTATAGAAACCTAATGAAACAGAGGAATAAAAATTCTAGGCCTAGGAACATTCATAAAATGGAAAGAACCAATATGTACAAGTCTTCTTTCCCTTAAGAACCTTTTCCTGAGGAACTCATGGGCTCTCACATTCTTTAAATATCTGGACTGACTCTAATCTGATTCAAAAGCACACTCTGGTCTAATATAGATGTTCCACATGCTCCTTTATTAAAGTAATTACAGCCATGCTATTCCTCCCAAGTTTGTCATTTTCTGAGCTCATAATTTTTCAGGTGAATTCTCCTTTGGTCCTGTGTATCTGAAGTAAGATATTTTGTTCTGATTAGTTTTGTTTTGTCTAACTGGGGGTTTTTTTGTTTGTGTTTGTTTTATTTTTGTTTTCATGCTGTTTTTATTCAGAAGCGGACTATCCAAGGATCAACTCTCAAATGCACTTAAAAATGAAAGAGGTCTTCCTTTTTGGAGAGTCCTAACAAGGAAAATGAACTGGTAATGGTAGGAGTAAATCTATCTCATGGAGGATGAGTGGTCACCTAAACCTCGGATTTTAGCATCCATCACAGCTGCCAGGCTCTGTTCCCAATTGTACAGACCCATCATGTCTGAGTTATACTGTAAAAAAAAACTCTGGGACAGGCTGTTTAAATTTCTAAAGGGTCAATTTACATTGGCAAGAGTAAAGATGTCTTTAAAATTTCTAACCTACAAGGTTTTCTAGTTGACCAATCAATCAAGAAAACATTAATTTCTATAAAATGTTTAAAGTACAATGTCCACTACATGTAAGAATTTTTCTTTGGTAAGAATTAACTGACTTAAAGTGTTAACTAGATTTCTCTGATATGTTGGTTTTCATGGGTACCCTAAGTTAAAAATGGATAATGAGAGTTAACATGAATGGGATAAACATTGATAAATGTGTTGGTTAGAAGTTTTTGCAAAGTTAAAATACTAAAACATCAACTGCTAAATATAAACTTAAATGTGGCTTCTTAAACGCCATAAGGTAAAATATATACAGGTCTACTAAACGTGTTCTTAAAAGTTAGTAAATGGAAAAGTAATTTTTTAAAATATATATATTTTTAGTTGTTGATGGTCTTTTATTTTATTTATTTATACACAATGCTAACAATGGAACCCAGTGCCTCACACATGCTATCAGCCACAACCCCAACCCTCTGGAAAAGCAATTTTAAGGTTGCTTTACTTCTAGGCCTAAACTAAAAGCAAAGTTACTAAAAGTTAAAATTCTAAAAGGTATAATTGTATACATAAGGAGTATGAAAAGTTTCAGATGAGCTTTGATGAAAGGACTGTAAAAATCATTAAGTATTTCATCTTATTACAAAGAAGTAATTTGTCAAAATTCAGAAATTTCATAAGGATTGTTTCATAAAAATTGTAACATAAATTTAAAAAAGAGTGAACAACTGGAAGAAGGGAAATATAAAAAGTTTTAAAAATGAAAATGTGTGTTTCTAGATGAGAAAGTATTGTAGGGTAAAATAATTTTCTTGTACTAAAGCTGAACATGAAAGAGAAGACAAAACTAAGAAAGTGAAAAAAATTATAGATTGTCTAAGTTTTTAGTTGTCAATGGACGTTTATTTTATTTATTGATATGTGGTGCTGACAATGGAACCCAGTGCATCACACATGCTAGGCAAGTGCTCTGCCACTGAGCCACAACCCCAGCCCTACCTTTGTTTTATTTATTTATTTTTATGTGGTGCTGAGAATCAAACCCAGTGCCTCACATGTGCCAGGCAAGCACTCTGCCACTAAGCTGTAAACACAGAACCAACACAGCCATCATTTAAGGAATTTTTTAAAAAATTTTTCTATTTTTATTTTTATAGTTATAGTTGGATACAATGTCTTTAATTAATTAATTTGTTTTTATATGGTGCTGAGGATCGAACCCAAAGCCTAGCCCGTGCTAGGCAAGCACTCTACTGCTGAGCCACAACCCCAGCACCATTTAAGGGATTTTTTTTGAAGGTCAAATTTTTATTCACTGATATGAAAAAAAGTCTAAAACACTGATCTGCTGTTATCTATCAAGATAATTTCCTGTGTCTTACTTAGGGAAACTAAGTCTTAAAGGAATTAGAATTTTTACCTATTTTCAAAAACTCAAAAAGATAATCACCAAAAAAACCAAATAACCCAATCAACAAATGGGCCAAGGACCTGAACAGACCCTTCACAGAAGAGGATATACAAACAACAAATATTATGAAAAAAATGCTCATCATTGCTAGCAATTATAGAAATGCAAATCAAAACTACTTTAAGATTTCATCTCACTCCAGCCAGAATGGCAGCTATTAGGACGACAAACAACAATAAGTACTGGTGAGGATGTGGGGAAAAGGTACACTCATACACTGCTGGTGGGACTGCAAATTGGTGCAGCCAATATGGAAAGCAGTATGGAGATTTCTTGGAAAATTGGAAATGGAACCACCATTTGACCCAGCTATCTGTCTCCTTGGTCTATACCCAAAGGACTTAAAAACAGCATACTACAGGGACACAGCCATATCAATGTTTATAGCAGCACAATTCACAATAGCTAAGTTGTAGAACCAACCTAGATGCCCTTCGATAAATGAATGGATTTTTTTTAAGTGGCATATATTCACAATGGAAAATTACTCAGCAATTAAAGAGAATAAAATCATGGTATTTGCAGGTAAATGGATGGAGTTGGAGAAGATAATGCTAAGTGAAGTTAGCCAATCCCAAAAAAATCAAATGCCAAATGTTTTCTCTGATATAAGGAGGCTGATTCATAGTGGGGTAAGGAGGGGGAGCATGGAAGGAATAGACAAACTCTAGATAGGGCAGAGGGGTGGGAAGCGAAGGGAGGGAGCATGAGGTAAAAATGATGGTTGGAATGTGATGGTCATCATTATCCAAAGTACATGTATGAAGACACGAGTTGGTGTGAATATACTTTGTATACAAACCAGAGATATGAAAAATTGTGCTCTATATGCGTAATAAGAATTGTAATAAAAAAGAATTGTAATGCATTCTGCTGTCATATATAAATAAAAATTTAATTTAAAAACAACAAAAAAGAAAATAGCAAATTTAACTGGGGATTTAATTATTTCACTTAATGTTTTTTAACTGGATAAAGATAACTTGTTATCAGTAAGTTTTATATACAGTTTATGATGCTTTACACTAGAATGGAAATTTAATGTATTTTTGAAAGATAATAAGGAGAGCCTAATTTGTTTAAAGTTCCACAATGTAGAACATGAAAAATTTTTCTTTTCCACAAAAAGGAGCACTCTTAGCTTGTTTGATTCATTTTTTTTAAATATTTTTTTTAGTTGTTGATGAACTTTTTAAAAATTTATTTATTTATTTATATGTGGTGCTGACAATCGAACCCAGTGCCTCACGCATGCTAGGCAAGTGCACTACTGCTGAGCCACTACCCCAGCCCTTGATTCATGTTTTAAAATTTACTTTCCCCAGACTTGAGAGAGAGAGAGAGAGAGAGTTTTTTTTAATATTTATTATTTTTTTTTTTAGTTTTCGGCAGACACAACATCTTTGTATGTGGTGCTGAGGATCGAACCCAGGCCGCACACATGCCAGGCGAGCGTGCTACCGCTTGAGCCACATCCCCATCCCTTGATTCATGTTTTATACGTACTGTTGTATTGTGTTAATTGATATTCACTTAGACTTGGGAAACAATATATGAAAACTTTGTAAATTATATTTAAGAAAGAGGTAAAGATCAACTTTAGAAATAAAATAGATTGCCTAGATTTGTCAAGAGCCCCCCTATCTGATTTAAGACTCTGTCTCTCACCTTATTCCATGTTAGGATGGCTCCAAAATTAGGCCAGAATTAAGCTTATTTAAAGTTATATTCAAAGGATATATTTTTGTTATAAAGGTACTACAATCTCAAAAATAAACAAGACAGAAAATAAAATTTAAAACTAAGTAAAGAACTGGATAAATTGTAAAAGGTATTTAAAGGCTGTAAAAGAGTTTTAAAAGAGTAAAATTTGTCAAGGATCTCATATGAATGAACTCATATATGTGGGGTCTTTGTGAGGCAAAATGGATATCAAATATACATTTGTGGTATTATAGAGATAATGTTTCTTGGTACAAAGCTATTATACAAACTGAATATATTTTGCTCTAGTTCATTTTGTATTTTCTTTGTATACCTTTGTAACTGCTGCCTGTTAGTGTTTTGTAGAAGTACTTCTTCTAATAGAACATCTGAGTTAATTTGAGATAATACCCCATCACCTGTAGGACAGACAGGATATAAGGCAGATGTCCAGTACTAATGCTGACCCCACTTAAATGCAAGGGAAAACTATAAAATTATAGACATTAAAGTTAAATACAGTACTCCAAATTCAAGACTGGTGAAACTGGCCTGCTGGATGTTTAAAACCAAAATTTGGAGACAAAAGTCAAGGAAATAAAAGGGCAAAGGAGAAAGTAGCCAATATTGTGGCCCTTGCACTCTAAGGTCAGCAAGGATCCAGGGAACAACAGGACCCTTCTAAAGGACCTGCAACTCTCATGAGTCATCTGACTTTCGAACTATGGGGAATTCTGACAACCCTAGAGAAGAGAAAACCAACTGGTGCACGTTCTGCAAAGAGGAGGTCACTGAAGATGGAAATGTCCCTGATGCTTCCAAGGGAAACTACACGTGGTCAGCAAGACCTTGGCCCATTTTATAGATGGCACTACTAGTAGAAAAAAGCTAAAGAAACCAAGAAGCTTCTCACAACTTCCCAAGAGTGATCTCTAACAAATCTCAGCTGACTCTTAACAACAGAGAAGAAAAAGATCAATTCTGACCAACTTGGTTTTAAATACCTGGCAGGAGAGTATTTTAAATACTTTAGCGCAGCCATACATTGACAATTAAAGAAAAGACAATGGTTCTTTTAATGTAACTTCATGGACATTTGTGTCAGTCCTCCAAAAGTAAGTAAAACCAGGAGGTTAAAGGAAGGGTTTTATACAGGAGTACCTAATAACTCTAAAAACCTCTGTCAGAGTCATAAATTTGTTCTGAGTCAATTTGAGACCTACAAATCTTCTTAACCTCCTACATAGAAAGACTTTGTTGTGTTTCTGTTGTTTTGCTTATATAACATTTATATGAGCTCCCTTACTTGGGAAAAACTACAGAATTGCTTTCTATAGAAAGTAAAGACCAGGGGCTTGGGTTATGGCTCAGTGGTAGAGCACTTGCCCGCCATGTGTGAGGCACTGGATTCGATTCTCAGCACCGCATATAAAATAAAATAAATAAAGGTCCATCAACAATTGAAGAAATAAAAAAGAAATTTAAAAAAAAGAAAATATATACTACTCATATCCTTCACTTTTTTATCCCTCAAGTTAAAGGGATTCCTTGCTCGATATCTCCTCTGGTCACAATTCATCACTTCCAGCCTGGTGGCTTGGCTTTAATCAAAGCCTGGAAAGAAGACAAGCTTCAACTGAATTGGAAAGGACCTTACCAAGTACTCTGGAACACTGGGACACCTTCAGAACTGCTAAAAAGGGGTGAACTCTTTACCATGGGAGTTTCCTCCTCAAAAACCTAGTATGGCTAGGATACATGACAATACCAAAGGAAAAAAGCACAAAAATGAAAATGAGACCAAAAGGTAAAAAAGAAGGGGGGGCATGAGAAATAGAAAGTCCGTTTTCAGAATACAGTATGTAGCCTTAAATGTAAAATTGGGATGTAAGAAAGGCAGCTGGGGGGAAAATAGAGCAGAATGGAAAGTTACAAGCAGTTAACTCACAATAGCACCTTAGCCTATGGATGCGCCAGATCCAAAATCCATGTACCAGAACAGCCCCTCGAGTAAAGACAAGACAGTAAAACCTGGGAGATGCTGGAGTAGACTGTGCACTTAGCCAGTGAGGAACCTGGAAGGGAACTTGCACACTAGGAAATAAAATGCCGACTGTAACTGCTCTGGGGGTGCCCACTTACCCAGATACCCAATCTTGCAAGACCATCAGTAAAGTCTCATTTTTTTGCTATACCTTGTGTCTCTTAATCCATTCTTTGGGTTTGGACAGGTGAGCCAGTTTCTCACATTAAGATATGATCATGCTCTTCAAAAGGGTGGTATTAAGTGGTCTTTAGTATATTCAGAATCCATAGCTAAATTTTACCACTCAAAATGTTTTAACATCTAAATTTCATAAGTTATTTGTTTCTTATTCAGTAGTAAAATAAACAGGTCTTGACTGAGACTATAGCTAGGGGTAGAGCACTTGCCTAGCATGTGTGAGGCACTAGGTTCAAACCTCAGAACCACATAAAAATAAATAAAATGAAGGCATTGTGTCCATCTACAACTAAGAAATAAATAAAATTTTAAAAAATAAAATAAGGGGCTGGGGATGTGGCTCAAGCAGTAGCGCGCTTGCCTGGCATGCGTGCGGCCCGTGTTCGATCCTCAGCACCACATACCAACAAAGATGTTGTGTCCGCTGAGAACTAAAAAAATAAATATTAAAATTCTTTCTCTCTCTCTCTCTCTCTC